ACACGTTTCGTGGCCCCACAGGGAGCTCCACCGAAGGCCCCAGTGGCTGCCGTCCGCATGCGTCCCGCACACCCATTTCGGCACACCCCTCACACGTTTCGTGGCCCCACAGGGAGCTCCACCGAAGGCCCCATGGCTGCCGTCCGCATGCGTCCCGCACACCCATTTCGGCACACCCCTCACACGTTTCGTGGCCCCACAGGGAGCTCCACCGAAGGCCCCAGCGCTGCCGTCCGCATGCGTCCCGCACACCCATTTCGGCACACCCCTCACACGTTTCGTGGCCCCATAGGGAGCTCCACCGAAGGCCCCAGTGGCTGCCGTCCGCATGCGTCCCGCACACCCATTTCGGCACACCCCTCACACGTTTCGTGGCCCCACAGGGAGCTCCACCGAAGGCCCCAGTGCTGCCGTCCGCATGCGTCCCGCACACCCATTTCGGCACACCCCTCACACGTTTCGTGGCCCCATAGGGAGCTCCACCGAAGGCCCATGGCTGCCGTCCGCATGCGTCCCGCACACCCATTTCGGCACACCCCTCACACGTTTCGTGGCCCCACAGGGAGCTCCACCGAAGGCCCCAATGCGTCCCGCACACCCATTTCGGCACACCCCTCACACGTTTCGTGGCCCCATAGGGAGCTCCACCGAAGGCCCCATGGCTGCCGTCCGCATGCGTCCCGCACACCCATTTCGGCACACCCCTCACACGTTTCGTGGCCCCACAGGGAGCTCCACCGAAGGCCCCACGGCTGCCGTCCGCATGCGTCCCGCACACCCATTTCGGCACACCCCTCACACGTTTCGTGGCCCCACAGGGAGCTCCACCGAAGGCCCCAGTGCTGCCGTCCGCATGCGTCCCGCACACCCATTTCGGCACACCCCTCACACGTTTCGTGGCCCCATAGGGAGCTCCACCGAAGGCCCCATGGCTGCCGTCCGCATGCGTCCCGCACACCCATTTCGGCACACCCCTCACACGTTTCGTGGCCCCACAGGGAGCTCCACCGAAGGCCCCAGTGCTGCCGTCCGCATGCGTCCCGCACACCCATTTCGGCACACCCCTCACACGTTTCGTGGCCCCATAGGGAGCTCCACCGAAGGCCCCATGGCTGCCGTCCGCATGCGTCCCGCACACCCATTTCGGCACACCCCTCACACGTTTCGTGGCCCCATAGGGAGCTCCACCGAAGGCCCCATGGCTGCCGTCCGCATGCGTCCCGCACACCCATTTCGGCACACCCCTCACACGTTTCGTGGCCCCACAGGGACGAACCCATTCCGCATGCGTCCCGCACACCCATTTCGGCACACCCTCACACGTTTCGTGGCCCCATAGGGAGCTCCACCGAAGGCCCCGCGCTGCCGTCCGCATGCGTCCCGCACACCCATTTCGGCACACCCCTCACACGTTTCGTGGCCCCACAGGGAGCTCCACCGAAGGCCCCATGGCTGCCGTCCGCATGCGTCCCGCACACCCATTTCGGCACACCCCTCACACGTTTCGTGGCCCCATAGGGAGCTCCACCGAAGGCCCCATGGCTGCCGTCCGCATGCGTCCCGCACACCCATTTCGGCACACCCCTCATACGTTTCGTGGGCAGGACGGTCGGGGCAGCGACGGCGGCGGCGGCGCTGGGGTTGCCGCCGCCGGCAGCGGCGACGCCCGTGCCGCCGTCGGCGGCGACGGCGCCGAGCGCGCCCCAAGAGCGCGCTCGCAAGCGGCCGCGGTAGGCAGGCTCTCCCTCTTCCTCCTCCCCTCTCTCCTCCTCCTCCTCCGCCCACTCCTCCTCCTCTTCAGACTAGATCGTGATCTGGTCCAGCAGACTTCTTCCTCGTCACAATGGCCTAGATCGGGATGTGGTCCAATCTCTTAGGGCCGCGCCAGGGCTGGGGAATCCTTTAGGGCCGCGCCGCTTTTGGGGAATCTTCTTCCAAAGTCTTTCCAAACCCGCCCAAATCCTCCCAAACCCGCCCAATCCTGCCGAACCCACCCAAATTCTCCCAAATCCACCAGAATCCTGCCAAACCCACCCACATCCTCCCACATCTGCCCGGAGTCTACCTAATCCTTCCAAATCCTCCCAAACCCGCCCACTTCTTCCAAATCCGCCCAAATCCTTTCAAATCTTCCCGAACACAACCGAATCCTCCCAAATCCACCCAGATCCTCCCAAACCCGCCCAAATCCTCCCAAACCCACCCAAACCCACCCAAACCCACCCCAATCCTTCCAAATTCACCCGAATCCCCCCCAATCCACCCGAATCCTTCCAAATCTTCCCAAACACACCCAAATCTTTTCAAATCCATTCAAAATGTTCCCAGATCCAACCAAATCCTCCCCAATCCTCCCAAGCCCACGAAATGCGCGCGCGGACGCGACCGGACACGGGAGCGGTACTTCCAATGGGCCGTCTGGGAGGGGGAAATTATGTTTTTTTTTTTTTTTTTTTTTTTTTTTTTTTTTTTTTTTTTTTTTTTTTTTTTTTTTTTGTTTTTGTTTTTTTCTGGTTCCGATTTTTTTTCTGTTTCCGACCCGTCCTCCGCGAAATGCGCGCGTGGACGTGCGACGGGACACGGGAGCGGTACTTGCAATGGGCCGTCTGGGAGGGGGAAATTATGGGCTTTTTCTGAATTTGCCGGTTTCGATTTTTTTCATGTTTCCGCCCCGTCCTCCGCGAGATGCGCGCGCGGACGCGCGACGGGACACGGGAGCGGTACTTGCAATGGGCCATCTGGGAGGGGGAAATTATGTGTGTTTTTTTCTGTTTTATCTGGCGTCGACTTTTTTTCTGTTTCCGACCCGTCCTCCGCGAAATGCGCGCGCGGACGCCCGGCGGGAAGTTGTTCAAAGCGAATCGTTGTCGACGTCGGCGTTTGCTACGCCCCGGGCGTCTGTGTTTGGAAGGGCGTCACTGTCGCGAATTTTCAAAAACGGGCTCGCGTTCAAAGAGAATGGTCGTCGCCATCGGCGTTTGCTGCGTCCGGGCGTCTGTGCCCTGAAGGACGTCACTATCGCGAATTTCCAATCTTGTTCAACGCGATTCGTCGTCGCCATCTGCGTCTTTGCTACGCCCGGGCGCCTGTGTCCTGAAGGGCGCTTAAATTCTTAGCGACCGTCCAGCGCAAAACCAGGCGGTGCGGAAAACAACGCGCTTTCAATTTGATGCGAACGTCCTATTGATTCGCTCGGATCTCACCGCGAGAACGCGACTGCGAGACCCCCGTCGCTTTGATGCCAAAACGACGGGGGTCTCAAGCTTTTTTGGGGTGTCCTATGGCGACGTGAAAAAATATCGCGCGTGCGACTTGCTAATTTATTCTTTTCCATAGAACGTCGTCGATGATCTCGCGCCGACGTGCTGCGCGTAAAAAACTAAGGCTCCCAAAATACACCCAAGCATGCAAGAGTCTCCTTTGGAGCGACCGGCGCGCGTCGCAGACATTCCGGTGCACTGTGTCCGGCGCTCAGTGTCGGCCGCGCGTCTTTCCAATTGTTCAGTGCCGCGGACGATCCGCGCGCGTCGCTGAGACTCCTTCGGGGCGACCAGCGCGCGTCGCGGGGACTCCTGCGCGCCCCGCTCAGAGCCCCCGATGCATCCGGTCGTCGTCGACGGGCCCAGCGCGCTCAAATGTCGCCCGCTGTAGTCTATTTCAGACGTTGGACATCTGGGTTTGCCTCGCGGAATCCTGGCGACTACGATTCCATATCCGTAGACCTGATGGCCCGAGCAGCAGGCGCCGCCGCGCTCCGCGGCACGCGCCCGACGCGCCCATTGACAGACGACCTCCGCTCGTGGACGGGGCCCCTCTCGCGGGGCGATCGCCCCGAGTCGGAGACACTCCAGCTCGCGCGGGCGGCCCCCTGCCCCGCGCCGGGTCAATCCCCCCCGGATGCCTCCCAAGGGCAGCGGGACGAGATGTCGGATCAATGTGGACAAGAATGAGCGAGGCGGAACAGTGACCTTCACAGTGAGATTGCGGACTGCGGGCGAGCCCTCCATCAGAGGCCCGCCGCGCGAGAATTTCGCCGCGGCCACGGCGGACAAGGTCCGCCTCCTGCGGATGCCGGAGACGGAGCGGCGCGCTGAGCTGCGCCGTCTGCGAGCACAGCACGCGCAGTGCCCGGGCGATGGCCCCCGGACGCCGCGGCGCCAGCAGGATTGCCCGCCTCGGCGCCGGGTGAGAGGGACACGAGGGCCGTCGCCGCGCGGTTCCCCGGCGCCGAGAGGCACCCCGGCATCGGGCCCGAAGCAGGGAGGTCCGCAGACACCGGGCGCCTCGGCCGCGGGCAGGCGCCCCCGGCAGACTGCCGGGACTGCTCGCCGCCGGGGCCCGACTCCTCGGACAGCGGGAGGTCGACGGGACGTCGCGGCCGCGACGTTCCGCGACGTTCTGGCCTGGCACAGTGAGCGCGGCCGTTGGCCGCGGCGCCAGCGTCCCGGAAGGGGGCCCGAGGATGATTTGGCGAGGAGGTGGCAGAGGTGGAGGGGGACCAGCAGGCTGCAGCCAGCGGCCCAGGTCTTGAGGGAGCGCATCGACGCGCTGGCGCAGGCCGGTCGGGAATCGAGGCTGGAGGATGAGCGCGCCGAGGGCGCAGAGCAGGCACTGCGGATGCTGCACCAGCACTGGTGCGAGGGGAACGACGTCCACGACGAGGACCGTTGGAGGCATCCCGCCCTGCATCGGTCGCGCGGCGGCCAGCGCCCATGCCCGGGCCTCTCGAACCTGTGCAACACCTGCTACCTCAACGCGCCCTTGCAGCGCCTCCTCCACTGCCCCGCCGCGCGCGCCGCGCTCCTGGGGGCGGAGGGCCAGGGCGAGCCGCTGATTCTGCAGGACGCGGGGTGGGGGAAATCTCGTCGATGTCTTCACTCCGGCACAGCCCCCGGTTGATTTTTGGGGTTCCTCCCTCCGCAGGGGAGGGGAGACGATTGGCGCGTCGACAGGGCGGGGTATGGGAGGCAGTCGGCCTGGGTTTCTCACCCCCTCTCGAGGAGCTGCGCGCCCTGGCGACCGCCTGCGTGCGCGGGGCGCCGCCGAGCCTGGCGGAGGGCGACGGCGGCGCCGCGCCAGCGCCGGCCCGCGTGGACCGCTGGTCCCCGCACGCCTTCGTGGACGCGTTCCTCGCGAAGCACTGGGTGGACTTCAAGCTGGGGAGGTACGCGGACGCGAGTGAGGCGCTGTCGCCCATCCTGGAAGACGCGCCTGGTCTCGCCAGCCTCTTCCAGACCGGATGCGACGAGGAGGCCGCGATGAGGCTCCCGGCATTCGTGGACGGGGCAGACGACGGCGACGACGCCCTGTCGCCGCAGGACTTCTTCCTCGACGGGGGCGCGCAGCGACTGGACGTGCGAAAGCTGCTCCGCCGCGGCGCCTCCATGGGCGGGCGACTGCGATCGAAGCCCGAGTTGCTGGCGGTCCGCGTGCCCCAGAGGTGAGAGCGGGGCGACGGCACGGCGCTCTTCCTCGGCGGCTGCGACATCGCGCCCTACTGGGGTGACCTCCCGGAGGTGGCTCTGAGGGCGGGGGAGGAAGACGTCGCGCACCGCCTGCGCGCCTACGTGCAGTACATCCTGCCCGAGGGATCGGAAGCCGTCCCATCCCACGTCCTGAATGACCCCCAGGGCCACTTCGTAGCTCACTTCGAGGAGGACGGGAGCTGGTACACTGCAGACGACCTGGGCGATCGGCCGCACGTGGTCCAGTGGGCGCCTGGCACCGAGCACAAGATACCTTGCATGATCTTCCTTGAGAAGGTGGACTCCAGGGCGGCCCGCGCCGAGGCGCGCCCGTGGCCGCCCGGGCCGGTCGTCGACGGCGCGGAGGGCGCGGGCGGCGACGGCGACGGCGACCGGGACGGCGAGGACAGCCCCGGCCTCGACGGGGAGTGCGACGAGGAGGAGGACGGGGCCGGCGACGCTGGCGTGCTGGGCGCGCGGAAGCGGCCCGCGGCGTCCACGAGGAGCGGCGCCCCTGCCAAGAAGCGGCTCCGCCTCCGAGGGAAACAGAGCGCTGCTGGACGGCAGCAGAGCCGCGCTGGGAGGCAGCAGAGCCGCGCTGGGAGGCAGCAGCAGCAGAGCCGCGCCGGGAGGCAGCAGAGCCGCGCTGGGAGGCAGCAGCAGCAGAGCCGCGCTGGGAGGCAGCAGCAGCAGAGCCGCGCTGGGAGGCAGCAGGCCAGGGAGGATCAGAAGCGCGGTTGCAAGCCGGAGGAGGTACTGCGACAGGGGCGGAAGCCGAAGAGCAAGGGCGACAACGCCGACGGATCCAGACAGGACGCCCAGAACAACGCCGCCGCCCCTGTCCTCCGCAGCAGCAGGGAGGCGAAGAGCTTGCAGACCGCCAGCGAGGAGCGCCGGTTGTGTGGGGATCTCTTCCTGCTCCTGCACTTGCTGGAGCCGCTGGTCGCTGCCGATGACCTGCTGAAGCATTACCCTGACTTCTTCGTCTACGCGGGCGACGACTGCACCCGCCGATGGGCGACGTTCCTGCAGGCACCCGATCGACCCGACAAGTTGGCCGGGAGACTGCGGGAAGCGCTCGGGGTCACGGAGAACGATATTTCCGACGCCAAGCGCCGACTGGAGAGCGGGGAGTGGCACGTGCACCACGTCGCGGAGCTCCTGGACGAGCGCCTGGGCTCCGCCCACGGCGCCCCCTCCGTGGCGGCCGCGGCCCGCCTGGCGGCGAGCGACGCGTCGGCCGCGCTGGGCGACGGCAACCCGCTGAGGGCGCACCTCGCGGAGGCGTGGCAGCGCAGACCCTGCAACCGCGGCCCTCCCCGGCACGCCGCCATGCCTGCGCGCCTTCGGGATCGCTCTGAGTGGTTCCAGTGCCCCGCGCCTGCGCTGCATTATGCCTGCCGCATGTGCGAGGCCGAGTTCCCCAACAGGGAGGCGTTCAAGGAGCACCAGGGCAGAGTCCACGGGGGGCAGCGGCGGTACCAGTCGCAGTACGTGGCGCGGTGCGAGCTGGAGCCCTACCAGCCGTCGCCGACCGAGGAGCGTCAGGCGAGCGGGCGGCGGGGAACTGCGCCCAGCCCTCGGAGACGTGCCCTTAGCGCTGGCGCTCCCGGCGCCAGCGCTAAGGGCATCGAGAGCGCTGGGGGTCGGGCGGTGCCCCCCGCCATCGCTGCAGGTGGTTGCCAGGTTCCGCATTTCCCAGTGCTGCGCCACCGTCGACCCCGTGGACGAGCCGTTCGTCCCGAAGCCTGAACCGGAGGTGCAGAAGCAGCTGCTCCACGCGGAGATCATCGGCAGGATCGCCGGCAAGATCGGGCAGGGGGAGCCCGCGGAGGAGATCTCCCTGCAGGCGGCCGGCGCGGCGGAGTCGGCAGCCCGCGCTCAGGCGGCGTGCCGGGCGAGGGAGCCCCGCGCTTTCCAGGCCTGCGTGTGCTGCGCCATGCAGCAGTGGTCCGAGAACCTCCACTCGGAGTACCTGGTCGGCGACAAGTGCACCATAAAGGACCGGGCCCAGTTCGCGGACTGCCTGTCGGCCGAGTGGTATCACCAACGATGGCCCCTCATACCGCGCGACGAGCTGATGTCGTCGGCCGTGAACTTTCCCCACGACGACTGCGAGGGCTCGCCGACGTCCACGAAGATACTCTTGCACAAGAGGCGCGTGCCGCCCGAGGCGCTCGAAGGGAAGGCGCCGGTGAAAGTCTGCGACGATTGCCGGAAAGACCTGTGGTCTGATCACCCCAAGGTGCCGCTCATGGCGCTGGTGAACGACCTCTGGCTGGGCCGCCACCACCCGCTGCTCAGGAAGGCCGCTCTCGCGCACCAGTTGCTGCTCGCGCTCGGCCGCGTCGTGTCCACGAAGACCTACCTGTCCAGCAAGGGCGCCGACAAGGCCGTCCGGCAGGAGCAGCAGTCGTGGAGGCAGAAGTTCTTGCAGTACGCCATGCAGGGCACCGCCATCGTGTTCGGGAACGGGAACGTGGACCACGCGACGCGGAGCTTCCCGCCGGAGCCCGACATGCTCAGGGACACGTTCGTGGCCGTCTTCGCGGGCGCCGACGACGACGAGGAGGGCCCCTGACCGAGGAGCAGAAGCAGGAGAGGGCCTTGAGAGCCATGTGGGAGGAGGTGGCGCTGCACGTCGACAAGGCGGAGTACGACGCCCAGGCGCGGTTGTTGAAGCAGCACAACTACGTGTACAATGACCCGGGCGTGCAGTACCGATCGGACCTCGTGGACCGGTTCCCACCGCAGCCGGGCGTGCCCGACTTCATGCTGGCCTGCGCGAAGTATGTCCCCACGGACGCGGCGTTGGACGACGTCGCGCAGGCGCAGGGCCCCGCGTCGGCCACCACCGGTGCGCAGGCAGAGATGAGCGCGGCCGCCGAGGACGCGCAGGAGCTGACCAAGTGGCTGTCCGTCCTCGAGGACCACATGGACGACGTCAGCGAGCTCACGTCCCTGCCGGCGCTCCAGGGCATGCTCGAGAGGATGGAGAGTCAGGCGGGTCGCGTGGTGGCCAACGAGCTGATGTCCAGACTCGAGGACCAGGGAGGCGATGATAGGGCGCTGCAGCTGGACGAGATCGGGCGTTGCCGCCTGCGGGACCTCTGCCAGGAGTTCCACGCGCGCTGTCGGAAGATCTCCCCGGGGGAGGACATGGCGAAGCTGCGCTGGCGCGTCCAGGCGCTGGAGACCAACAACTGTCTGGCGGAGGAGGGCGCGGGCGACTTGGCGCGATCTGCAGGAGTCGCGGGGACTCCCGCCGAGGACGATCCGCGCTCCTTGCAGGGACCGCCCGGCCCAGACGGCCAGCGGAAGGCGAGGCTTCGGGTGCCCACTTCGAGGAAGGCGGAGAGCTGGTGGAATCCGAAGTACTGGTCGATTGCCAGGCCCACGGACTTCTGCTACGGGGACTGCGCCCGGGGCCTCGGCCAGCTCCCCCCGGACGGAGATGAGGACCCGCAGAGGCAGAAGGAGGCTCGGCTCTGCTTCAGCGTGGCGCACTTCATCAATAATCTTCTCACGCGGGAGGAGATGGAGTACGATGTGCCTTCGGACGAGGAGAAGTACGTGGCCAGGCCCATCAGTCGTTTCCGGAGCTGCTGGTACGACGTGCACCTGCTGTGCTCCTTCTGGAGAGTCACGGAGACGACCAACAGCACCTGCACCTTCATGAAGACGCCCGGGGCGTTCGGGGCCGCTCGCGCCTGCGCGGACATCACGCCGGAGATGATCGAGGAGGTGCAGCTCAGGGCGCAGCAGACGGGCGGGAAGGCCACGCTGCACGGCATCCTCAAGGACAAGGACACCCCGAACGAGGTGCGCAAGGCCTTCGCCACCCTGGGCCAGGCCACTGCCGGCCAAGTCGGGTCCGACGGACACAGGCGGGAGCTGCGCGGAGAGGGCGAGGCGTATACTCTGCGCTTCGGCCCGCCCGTCCAGTTCGTCACCCCGAATCTGGCAGACACCAAGCAGCCCCTGATCCTGATCGTGCACGGGGAGGAGTACACCTTCGACAACGACCTGACCGGGGCGGAGCAAGTCACGTTCAGCGAGATGTCGCAGCGCATCACCGCGGACCCCGTGGGCCAGGCCGTGGTGTTCGAGCTGATGATGAGGCTGTTCTTCGTCCACGTCCTCGGCCTGCGCCCGGAGACCGTCGGGTGGCGGCGAGGAGAAGTCCGAAAGGCTTCGGAGCACTGGATATCCGACGGCGTGGCGGCCGACCTCATGGGCGCGCCCACGGTGTTCGGCCCCCTCGCGGCGGCCTTCGGCCCGGTCGAGGCTCAGGGCCGCGGCTCGCTGCACCCTCACATCCTCATCTGGCTGCTGCAGGGTCAGCTGCGCGTGCTCTTGGACATGCTGCAGCGCGACGAGGCGCGCTTCCAGGAGCGCTTGAACCTGTGGATGCGGCAGGTGGTGCAGGCCGTGGTCGCCACTCAGCAGAGCGCCGTGGAGCTGCTGCCCCTGCAGCTGCAGGGGGGCGAGAACAAGTGCGGGGTCACGGTGCCGCCGCCGCCGTTCGGGCCCAACGAGAAGCGGTACTTCCGGGCCGACGGGGGCGCGGAGATGGCGACTGCAGAGCAGCTCGGGGACGGAGGCGAGACGGAGCCGCGGGAGCTGCGGTTCTACGAGCCCAAGGTAGACGACTACCACAGGGCGATTCTGTGGGAGACGTCCCAGGCCAGGCTGGTGGCGACACCTGCAGACTCCTCTCTGTGCGTGACCCTCAAGGCGCACGCGTCTCTGCGGGGTGTCCTGCGGCCATGTGCCCTATGCAGGCGCCATCCCGCAGGGGGTGGGTATAGCAGACTGGTAGCTTTGCCCGATCGCCCCTCTCACAGGTTATCAGCCGCTTTGCCAGAGTTGCGAGACCGACGCTGTCAGTCTCTGAGGGCGTGTGCTACGTCATTTCTTCATGCGGCCTTCGGCGCCATTCGGAGGACGGCGCGATTGCTTCAGATGATGTGACGACCCTCTTTGCCCATTCTTTGTGCGTTTTGTGATCCATCGTTGATTGCCTCTGTTGGAAGCTGATCTGGCGTCCTCCCCGCCGGTGGCAACACCAGCTGCGCCCTCGTCGCCTTGGCTGGGCGCAGCTGCACATTGCTGTCACAGTGCTTCTAACGCGACTGAGACTTCTCGATGTGTCCCTCATTATCCAGCTCTCTATTCCATTCTCTCACGTCGTTTTGCGTCGGGGCGGGGCGCCCCCGCAGGTGCACTTCGACGCCCTCCTCTTCTCGCTTTCTGTTGTCCTCCCCCATATCCATCCATCCATTGCTTCTCCCTTCCCACCCATGCGTCCTTCTTTTCTTCCTTTCATGCTTATGATTGTGCATGTTGTCACCGTGCCCACGTTCATGTCGGAGCGATTGCTGCACGCCGCGCAATGTCGACCAGTTGTCTCTCCCTTGTGCCCGTCTTCTTTCTCCTTTGCGCTTCTGTGTGTGCATGTGCGGAATCCCAACGTCCTGGCAGAGTGACGTGTTGGACAGGCCCAGACCGGCCGGCTGGCCTCCCCTCCTTCGGTTTACGATTTCGCCCCCATCTCTGACAGGTTGCAGGATGTTGGACGGCGGCGGACCACACGTCGGACAAGCATTTCGTTCTCCTTATCGTGAAGAGTAGCAAGTGCGGCGGGGGCGCCCTGTTTACATGCCACGGGGCTCCGTGGTGGTGGGGCATTTGCTTTATGTCAACTTTCCCAGTGCTCTGAAGCAGAGACAGTAAGTCACATCTCGGAATAGCGCTGCGCGAACAGCGTCCAGAAGTCAGGTTACTCCTCTTGTTCTTCGTCTCCCTGCGCGACGGACTACCTCGCGCGCAGGCGCAAGGGCGGGGCCCCGGTAGGTGCTCGCTGCTGGCTCATGAGCTTTGATTGATTGTTTGTTTGTGGGTGGCGGTTGTCACAGACTTGCTCTGCGCATTCGGACCCTCGTTTGCGCTGGGCCCGCAGCATCCACAACTACAGGTTGAGTCCTCGTGGTGGACCCCGCAGCGGCTCTGTGCAGATCCCTATTCTTCTCCTCTTCAAGGCGCTTGGAGACGGATGTCTCTCATCGGGGGGGTCCTTCCCCCTTTTCACTTTCCTCCTCTCTTCTTCTTGTGGGTTCAGTCCCGCAGCCTCTGGGCGTCGTGGGAGTTCGCCTCCCCACGTCTCTTCGGAGTCGGGTCTGGCCCCATCCCTCCTCTGTTCTTCTGGTGGGTTCAGTCCCGCAGCCTCTGGGCGTCGTGGGAGTTCGCCTCCCCACGTCTCCTCGGAGTCGGGTCTGGCCCCCCCTCCCTCTCCCTTCTCTCTTTGGACATGTCAGAAACCTCTGCGGGGGGGTCACAGCCCCGCAAACTGGCACCTCTTGCAAAGGAGCACGAAAACACGTGCTCGAGGTGGCCAGAGCCCGGCTCTCGTCGATAAGAGCAGCCCATTTTGGGCGGAGCCGGCGCCCCCAATCGACAAGAGCAGCCCATTCTGGGCGGGGGCAACGCATCTCCGTCTTTCTTGTCTTCCTCCTTCTTTCTATTCTATCGTGTCGTCTCGTGTCGGGGGGGCCGATCTGTCGGTGCTCCAGGACCCGCGGGCAGTTGAGCCCTGCGGACTTGTGTCGAGCTCACATTGTTGCGCCTCCCCACAGGTACATATCGACACGTTCCTCTTCATCATTGTCTTATCTTTTCTCTTGCCATGCCGTCTCTCGTCGGGGGGGTCGTCGCGTCGAGCTCGCTGCCTCCCCGCAGGTGCATATCGACGTGCTCCTCATCCTGTTTCTCTTTGTCTTTCCCTCCTCTAGTTCTGCTTTCGCACAGGTGTCAGTCGAGAGACACTCTCTCAGTGTTGCTTCCTTTCTCGGTCGTTGTCGTCAGGTGCATTTCCTGTTCTTCTCCTACAAAGCGGTTGGCCAGCCCGCAATCTGTATGCTGTTCATATTGTGCTTTCAGGTGCCCATTGTGACGTCGTGTACACACGTCCATCTTGTGGTTGCCGTCTCCCCCAGGTGCACATTTTGACGCTTCTCTCCGACCGCCTCTTCTGGATTGCTGTCGCTGCGAGGTCTGCCCGGCCAGGTCTGCTCCATCTCCTGTTCTACTTCCGCCACCCGACGACGTGCGTGATCGCGTGTCGCAAGGGGGGGGGGGTGGGAGACGTCCCAGGCCAGGCTGGTGGCGACACCTGCAGACTCCTCTCTGTGCGTGACCCTCAAGGCGCACGCGTCTCTGCGGGGTGTCCTGCGGCCATGTGCCCTATGCAGGCGCCATCCCGCAGGGGGTGGGTATAGCAGACTGGCAGCATTGCCCGATCGCCCCTCTCACAGATTCGCCCCGATCTGCCGCTGCGCAACAACGGCGGCGAGATCGTGGACGACGTTGCGGCGTGGACAGAGCAGAGGGCCGCGGAGAACAAGGGGTACTGGCGGCGGCCGCTCTCCAGCAGCGCCTCCGGCATCTTCCCGAGGTACCGCGGCGGGGGCACCCTGGCGGAGTCTCTCCCGAGCGAGGAGTGGATTCGCGAGATGTGCCGCGACGTGCGCGAGCTCGTCATCGGCTGCGGCATCCACGTCTGCAGCCCCTCTTGCTACAAGTACAAGTACCATTCCGACAGGACGCGCGGCTCGCAGATCTGCCGCCACAACTTCTACAACCTGGTGACATTGTGCACGTGGACCGAGGGTGAGGACTCCCGAGAGTGCCGACTCCGCACGCGCGGGAAGGCGCTGCGCGGCTGCATCGGCATATTCCGGGAGACGGACTACGGCATGGCCGGACGCATCGTCACCTTCCAGCTCCACCCCGGGGAGACCTCCACGAAGTACGCGGCACTCGTCGCGGCGCGGTGCAACGTGGACGTGCAGGACATGAGACGGGTGCTGCCCCCGCGCCTGTGGATGGATGCGTCGGAGCTGGAACCGCCGGCGAACGAGGATGACCGCAAGAGCTACAACCATGGCCTCTACCCTCAGCGCTACGCCGACTTCTCGGTGGGCGCCCGGGAGGACTGGGGATGGTTCCAGCATCTGAACACCACGCCCGCGGAGAAGTGGGACCTCGTCGTAGTCACCGACTGGCGCGGGATCTACAGGGCACTCGCGAACCGCGACAGCCCCGCCGTGGACAGTGGCGACGCTGCGCGCGCCGATCTCCAGCGCGACCTGGAGCGGCACGCGCTGGCCACCTTCGTGGACGCCCACAACACGAGCTACTACGTCAACTCGTACACCACGAAGGTGAACCCCAGCATGGACGACGTGCTTTGCAAGCTCCTCGACGGCGTGCGCCGCCTGAAGAGCCAGTGGGACGACAAGGAGGCGCAGGCCGCGGGCGACGCCGGCGACGAGGCCCAGTCGACAGCCGCAGGAAAGCGCAAGGAGGATTTCAAGCGCACGCTGCAGGTGCTGGCCCGCTTCGAGACCTGCTTCCGCAGGGCCTCCTGGAAGAGCGGCAGCGAGATGGTCTTCCCCATGCTCTTCGGGCACCTCTCCTTCATGACGCACCGTTGCTGGAAGGTGTTCATGCGGAAATCCATCTACCTCGCCGCGGAGTCCTGGCGCAGGCGGTACGGCCAGGCCGACACCGCGGAAAGCGCACCCGCCGCCTCGATCACGTACGCGGTCCCCGGCACTGGACAGCAGGTCGCGATGCCAGGGTGGCGCGAGGTGCAGCGCGAGGGCGAGACGGTGTACGTCAGCCCCGACGGCGAGGAGTTCGACACGATCGAGTACGCGCACCAGGCGTTCCAGATCGCGAACGCCAGCGGCAGCTCGCTGCGCGACGTGACGAAGGCGCTGAACAAGTTGCGGCAAGGCGAGGCCGAAGTGGTGCCCGAGGCACCGGGGCCGACTGTCGAGGGCCTCGCGCAGGGCAAGTTCAGGGGCGCAGTGCTGAGCCAGCACGACGACTGGATGCACCGCGGAGACCACCCTATTGTCCGAGACATGAGCTTGTACGTCTACAGCATCTGGGTGTACCGCGTGGAACTGGCCGCTGCATGCCCTTCCGGCCGGGGAGCTGGATCCCGAGGGCAGCGGGGGTCGCACCCTGCACGTCGACATCGCCTTCGACCTCCTACTCGGCGGCGCGGAACTGGACGCAGAGGCTGGCCGTCGAGCCGCGCATCCCGAAGGCCGAAGGCTTCCAGTTCGCGAGCGCGGAGTCGAACGTGGAGACGCACTACCTCATGAAGTCGGTGCTGCTCCGGCCAGTGCACCTGCCGGACGCCGACGGCCCCAACGACACGAAGGAGCTGCGCTACCTCCGCGCGTACGAGCACCTGTGCGCGGCGCCGGAGGGCGAGCCGGAGTGGCCGGCGCAGCCGGCGGGGGAGGGCGTGGCGGGCCCGTTCCAGCGCGGCTGGGAGTCGTTCGCCACCGCCCAGGAGCAACTGGCGAAGACGGCCCGGGCGAAGTGCCTCAGGAATGACGTCGGGTCGTGGGCGACGCCCAGCATCTGGAATCTGGAACACGGAGGAAGTCGAGTCCGCGCTGCGCGAGAAGCGCAGCGACCGCCGCGAGGACGTGCAGCCTCCGTGCCAGTGCGCCCAGTGCGCGGAGCTGGGCAACTGGCTGAGCAGCATGCTGACGGTGCAGGAGTACCTGGCCCTGGAGACCACGAAGACCGCGGCCAACTTCGACGGCATCTCCAAGACGAAGGCTTCGAAGCCGAAGAGGCCGCAGAAGGACGACGTGCAGGTC